ACTCATGAGCAGCTAGCAAGAGCAGCACAGGAAGTATATAATACCAAGATTTGATAGGAAAAGAGAAAGGAAACTGGAAAAGACCACATTTAAAACAAAAGCCAATACAGAGATGCTCAGGAGAGAACAATCTTATAAACCCATTGTAAACTATACTATTTAGATGAACTCCTCTCTCTGATTTTTCCTCCACTCCCAAAGGTTGCATTTATCTTTAAGTACGGCCATGGAGACTATTTTCTTCATATCCAGAAGAGATCAGATTTGCCCCCTGCAAGAGTTATTGCCACAACAGAAATACTCCAAAGGGTTGAGACAGCTGAGCATTAGCCATTACTTTCCATTCCAGCCAAATGTATGCTTTATAAAATGTTGAAGTTTACAATTAAACAACAGATTATTTTCAAGCACTGAAGGCCAAAACAATGGAAAAATTTGGTCTATGACTTAAAAAAAAAAAAAAACAACCACCAAATACACACACTAATTATTTTTTTACTCTGTAGTACAATAAAACATGGGGGTTTTTATCAAGCTTTGAGAATTTGGAGAACTTGGGAAAAGATGTTTTAGAGAAATAGCCTAAGGTTTTAGTCTTTCTGAAGCAAGTGTTCTCAAAAGCTGAAGCCAGAAAACTGGATATATTAGTAATAACTCTAGGCTCATACTAGTAAAACCCAGCTCATAGAAGACGTGAGTGGCAATAGTAAAGATTGTAACAAATTTCTAGTGATTTTTTGGTGAAATTTGCAACTGAAAACATTAGGAATTTTAAATTTTTCTCCAGAGAAAGACAGGACTTTGATATTTCTCAGAATCCCAAGGAAAACATTTAAGACTCCAAGTAGAAGACAGTGAAATCAACTAAGATTCTTTGGAGCTCCACTCTTGAGAAGACTAGCTATTATAATTTTTTGGAGCAACTAAGAGCACAGGCAAACCTTTTGTGAATTCGGCTTTAAACACCTAAATTCCTAGTCCTAGATGATTATATGTCCTGTGGTGGACCTAGATTGTACAGTTGAGAAGCTTATGTAAGAATAAGGCTGTTGGGTAGCTGACATGCTAAATAGAAAACTCTGGAGAATTATGCCCACACTAAAATGGAAAAAATAAGAGATAGCAATGCCATGTAGTTATCAGCCAGTCACACAGGAAACGTGCTGAAGAAGGAAATTTAATGTCTTCTGAGTTCAAGCCCAGTGTTAGAAACAAAATTACAAGGTATAGAACTCCATTCCTGCATAAATAATAGAAGGTAATGGATGTATTTTATTTTTTTTTCCCCTTTGGCACACGCAATACATCATTTTCTGTTTGAGGAATTCACTTATCTAAAAATGTGGCATACTGAAAAAACATAGAGAATTCAGTTACTTTTTTACTGAATCTGTAATATTACAGTAGGCAGGATTCCTTTCCAGCTACAAAATGCATTTATTTATGAAGTCTCACACTTCAGCTTACTCATGTGCTCAACTTTACTCCCAAAAGTACAGTGACTTGCTGATTCCTATGTTTACAGAATCGGATTTAAAGGAATAATAAAAGGCATTTTTGTTGTGTTTGGTGAGCGTGTTTCATTATGTGCTGCTGTTACTTTTAGGAAATCCCTTGTGTTAGATGATAGCCTTACATTCACACCCAGGACCAGTTCACACCCTCCTGGGATGACCCAATGGAAGGGACTAACAGAAAGGTCTTGGCAGGTCACAGAGTCCTTTTCTTCAGGGGCCAGACAGAAAATCTGCCAGCTTGCCCTCTCAGCTACATGCTGGGACACTTGCTCTGTCAATGACAAGAATAATCTTGTTTTACAGATTGCCCTCTATCCCTGTAAAAATGAAACAAAATTATCTGAAAGAGTGCAGCTGATGGAAAAGCACCTTGTATGAGGTTTATATTTCCTCCAAATATACTTTCAAATAGAAGACCAAAGCAAACTACGCATTTCTGGCACCAGCGATATGATGGCAAAACTTGATGCACATACATATACTCTAAAAACTTATGTCCCTTGTATGAAAATGTTGCAGAAAAACACTGAATCCTTCAGTCATCCTTTAGCGACAGTATCCTTCACTCTTCCTTAATCTTAACAGGTATGACCTGCCATTCTGCTCACCAAATTTCCTTGGTCTCCGAACCTGAAAACTGCCATCCTTTCCTGATATGAAGATCAACTAACACGCAGATCTGCTTTGGGAAAACTGCTAGGGCTCCTTCCGTTTACCCTCCCACCTCTCTGTCAAACTGCAGATGCCTGTGCTGGGGTCTGTCTGGTTCACAATGCTGCCCAGCTTCAGAAGGTAAAGTTAATGCACTAGGAGCACCAATTCCAGCACCTCTGCAGGGTGTTATTTTAGACTAATACAACTGCAGTGAGAAATGAAGAGCTCATTCAGCTTGATTTGTCCATAATATATATGAAATCAGAAATGCTCTCGCTTGTAGACCCTTTAAAATAGCAGTTTGTGTCACCGCTTATTTAGCAAGGCACCTATTACCTACTGCTAATGTCATCTGTCTCAAAATGGTAATGAGTACTTAAAAAATTCTGATCAATAAATTATTGGTGACTTTTAAGAAACAGAAAAATAACACCCACAGGATGCCCTTCCCCCATTTAGGAATATTTCCAATATTTCCTGACATATTTATTAAAAGCTGCACTTTTGGCAGATGTCCTAGTGTTGTACATATATTGTGGTAAACATGGAGCTATTTAGAAATTTATTTTAATTATCAGACAAGTCAACAACTGCAATATTATACTAGCAGAATAAGTCTAAATTCTAAATTAAAAACTGGTGACCTCTTTGGTAGCATGGGCTTTAGCAGAGCACAGGACTCACCAAAGAATTGACTGTGGTGAAATTTGTGAAACTGAAAGATGTCTTTTCAATTCCTCTTTTTAGCCAATTGCTTCCTACCTTACTTCTGAACTAAAGAACAAGACAAAATGCAAGGGTAGGGCTACAGAGAGACAAATCTACTGATTCTCTTGCTCTCTTTCACAATTCCTTAGCCCATATTTGTCCAGACCAGAGACTCTGCTCCTAGTGGCAGCAGGACACTCATAATGGTCTTTGGAAAAGGAGACCATTACACAACCCTTATCCCACCAGTGAAAACAGTACCTTCCAGTGAAAGTACCTTTCCAGCTCCCCTGCCATCTTCAGCTGTCTGTGCTCATGCATATCTTATTTCCAGATTTGTGGGGTCGTTTTTGTATTGTTCATTCTTTGAGCCTGCTTTTGTGAAGCCCCTCACACTCAGAGCTTTGAAATTCTGATCAGGCCCCCACAGCAGAGCAGGTGAAATGACTTGCAGAGTACAGATGTCAGTAATTTCTCATTGTTTTCTTCCCCTCTGCGTGTGCCTGTTCCACCTCTGGAACACAAGTAATTCTGGGAGAACATGAACCGAAGAACCCTGGTTTCCCACAGACTTATACTGAGGCTGATAATGAGCTGTAATTGAAACTTTTCTCATTACCAAGACATTTATATGGTCTCTCAACCATGTGAATCACTGTTTAATAAAACGCAAGTTCATGTTACAGCCTTTGGGACATTTACAGGACCTCTCAGCCCTACCCAGCTGCCTGTTTTCACGAAATAGCTTAATTATATTTGAGATAGATTTGGGTGAAACTGCCCAACAGCTTCAAAAGTTATTGGAGAAGTGAAGGAGACGCAGCCAAGAATGATCACATAGAGGCCTGTTTCCATAGGAACCTAGAAGGAAAACAGCAATACAATTTGCAAAAAATTTCATTGCAGAGTCACTTTAATTGAAATTTTAAAAATATCTGACCATCTTTAAATCACATGCTGTAACACACAGTATATTTCTCCTGCCTTCCCCCATTCAGTACTGTGTCTGCAGACTCCTGCCTTCCTGTATCCTGCTCTCCTATGTCCTGCAGGTACAAAAACTATGCTTCTTAAATTCAGGAGGTTGTTCTGCCTGTATTTTGTCAGTCTCCACTTTAGATGGAAACTGTTTTTCTAGGCAAGGCGAGCTTCACAGAAAGACATGCCAATTGCTACACTCCCGCTCACTGCTCACACACGTGCGAGGTTTATGACAGAACTGATTAAAGGTAGAGCCCAAATGAGGTGGGAGCTGAGTATCACCTGCTGATCAGTGCATCCAAGTGCTGGGCTGAGGGAAGCTCTGCAGGTTGGAGCATCGCTCTTTGGCTACTAAAGTCATTTGGGGTTTGAAGCCATGTAGCAGAAGGCAAAGTGGTAAACACCTAGGAGGTGACTGTCAGTAGATTTTATGGAAAGAACTGCCACCTCCCTCCCATTGTTATACCCTCTTCAGTGTAGCACCCCACCTGAACCATCAGCTCCGGCCTCCTGCGGCCACAGCAACTCAATGCCCATAAACGACTCTGAGTGTGAGATCTCTCAGTGGCGTGAAACCACTCTGCAAACACCCATAACGTGAAGATCCTCGAAGGCAACAGCTGCTGCTTGGTTTTGCAGCCACCGCCCGAAGCCCGGCTGACTTCGGTCCTCCCTGGCCACGAGCAGAGCTTCTGGACCACCTTCCTCCGCTCCTCCTCAGGCAGCTCCCCAGTCCCCGCGGGGCACGGACGCGGTGCCCCCGGGGTGGTTCCAGGCGCTGCCGGTTCCCTCTCGCCGCTGCAGCGGGGGCTCGGCCCGCCCGGAGCGGGTCTCGCTGGCCGGGGGTCAGTGCGGGGTTCGGCCCGCCCGGAGCGGGGCTCGCTGGCCGGCGGTCAGCGCCATCCCTTCCCCGGGTGCCCCCTCTCGGCCGGGGCCGGGCTGGGGGAGCCGGGCAGGGGTCTCCGCTGTCCCTCCCTCTCGCAGGGCGCCCTCGCCCCCCCTCCCCGCCCGGGCCGCTCTCCGCCTTCTGCCGGCCGTGCCAGGCAGCCTCTCTCTCGGCCTTTACTACCGGGTCAGGCGAGGCGGGAGCGAAGAGGCAGCGCCCGCCTCGCTCCGCCACCGACATCGACACCCCTCCTCCTCCTCCTCCTCCCCGCGCCGCGGCCGTCCCCTCCCTCCCGCTCCCTCCCTCCCTCCCTCCTCGCCGCTGCCAGTTTCTCTACAACTAGTACATCCACGCGCAGGCAGGGTCCGGCCGCCGCGGCTGCCATGGATATCAGCTAAAGCCGGGCGGAGCGGGCACAGAGGCGCTCCCCGACCCAGCTCGCAGTCCCGCGGGGCCGGAGCAGCGGCGGCCGCTCCCGCCCGCCCCAAGCCTGCCCGGAGGAGCCCGGCTGCCCCGGGGAGGGGGGCAGAGAGGGAGGGAGGGAAGAAGCACGCACCGCAGGGAGGGAGTCGGGCAGAGCATCCCCACGGCAATGTCCAAGGGCTTGAAGAAGAAAAGCCACTGGACGAGCAGAGTCCACGAGATCGTGATCGTGAGGAACCCAGAGGGACAGCTGGGCTTCGAGCTGAAGGGGGGCGCCGAGAACGGGCAGTTCCCCTACCTAGGGGAGGTGAAGCCCGGCAAGGTGGCCTATGAGGGCGGCAGCAAGTTGGTGCCGGAGGAGCTGCTGCTGGAGGTGAACGAGACCCCCGTGGCCGGGCTCACCATCAGGGATGTGCTGGCCGTGATCAAGCACTGCAAGGACCCCATCCGCCTCAAGTGCGTCAAGCAAGGTAAGGCGGACACGGCCCCCCCCTTCCCCTTCTGCCCACCCCTTTGGGGGCCGGGGCAGGTCTGGGGGAGCTTGTGGGGGGAGCAACTTTGTTGCTGCAGTTTGACTTTCCCCCTCCCCGCCGGAGCCGCCCCCTCCCCGGCGGCGGGGGGAGGATGCGAGCGGCGCTGCGCGGTACCCGCAGCCGGGCGAATTAAATGTGCGTCAGTGACAGCGCTTCGCCATGCCGGGGGGGGACGGGCGGGGGGCGGCGGCGGCGGCACCCCCTGCAGCCCCTGTCTCACGGACACGGGGAGCCGCCCGACCCGACCCGACCCCCGCCGCTCCTCCGGCTGCTGCTGCCGCAGGCGCTGCCGGTGGGGCCGGAGCGGCCGCCGGGCTCAGCTGCGGAGCGGGGCTTGCCCTTGGCTTCGCCTCGCTCCGGCCGCCTCGGCGTGGGGACAGGGGCTGCCGCCGCCCGCCGGGTTCCCTGGTGGCACCCCAGGGATGGCTTCAGCATCTCTTAAGTGTCATTAGCGGAAAAGTCATTCATTTGATCCCTGGTGAAAGCGATCGCTAATCCCAGGGAGCGGGGAGCTCGTAGCCGAGTGGGAGGACAGGCAGAAAGAAACTTTGGGGAAAGAACTCTTGTTTCCCCTTCGTGTGTGTTTATTTTTTAAGTATTCTAATAGGTTAATGCGTTTCCAGGAAAGTCAGTAGAGAAAAGACGCCACAGATGCTGTTTACATGTTTGTTTCTGTCCTCTTTAAACTGTGCTGAGTTGAGCTCTCTGCAGCTGAACGCTCATGAGGAGGTTTCTGCTATCCCAGCAGCATTTCTGGAGCACAGGAGCTGCTCTGGGAACCGAGTCTGTAGGTGCTCCTCGGCCATGGGTGGTGCAGCGGCTGTAGGCGTATCGCTGAAGTACGCATTCCAGCCGGGCAGCGAGCCCAGCCATTGAAAACTTGGGAATTTCTGCGGTGGGAAGTTTTTAGATGCCATACATCAGAGGCGCTTGTGCTCTGCAACTGTAGCCATCAGCCTGTGCTCAGAGGACACAGAGGAGAGTCCTTCTGACTTTAGGTATAATTTAATAACTAGTGGTTTATTGTTTAAAGCATGATTTGTGATACTTCTGAATGCTTGAAGAATATGCCAATTATTAGTTTATCCAAACATGACAGAACCAGTCAAAAGAATTTGACTTCTACTCAGGCCTTCAGAATATACTTCGTGATAAATTCAGTTATCTCATGAGGTCAAACCTCTAAATACAGGTATGATCTGGGATTTTTCTATTTGTCCATATGGGTAAGTTGTGCAATATGCTGTAGATGGTATCTTGACAGGCAATGCAGGGAGACACAATAGTTCATGTGATAATGTGAAATTAGGAAAGAGCATAATGGATTTTGTTTTGGCAGTACATGGTCATCTCTGGGCACCTTAGCAGCAGGACACCTGCTCTGTATTTTCTTCTTTTTGTTAATAATTGTAGTGTGAGTGGTCTTACTGTAACAAGATTCAAAGAGAAGCAGCAGTGGAAGTGTCAAGAAGATATAGGTAGAATTGTCTGTTATTTAAATTCTTTATTTTTTTCCAGAAATCCTATAGGTGCTTTACAGTAAGGCAAATTTCAGGTTACTTTGAGTTACTGTATGAAACAGTTTCTGTCCCACCTCCTCACTGTTTTTCTAATATTTCTCTTTAAGTCAAAGCAACCACCAGTGATTCAGTAATAAATCACCCTTAATAAAGTTACATGTCATATGTGAATTAGGGACATTAGTCAGGCTTTTAGTCTGTGAATTAGTGCAAGTTTCTGAATGAGACATAAAGGGTGAATTCTGAATTTCACTTAATCTTAAATATTTATGTCTGTATCTATACATATCTGAGCAGTTTCGGTTACAATTTTGATACAAGTTCTCAATGCATTGGCCAGATGACTGCATCTGGAAATAACAGTTCCAAACTGCGTTTGGAAATAACAGTTCGGCATAGATTCTTGGACAGAGAAAGGCTTCCTGGCTGGAATGATCTTTCTTGTGCACCAGCTTCCTTTACTTTGCCAAAGGGAGAGGCCTTCCGGATCCAACTTTCTATTTAAAAAAATAATAAAAAGGTCAATGGTTTGTGCATTTTTACTACCTGACTCCTCCTTCCAGTGTAAGCCAGAGTAGTCCCTGCACCCCTCAGTGACAAAGCACAGGCAGCAGGAATCTACTCTACAGTAACATTACTATTCTCTAACAGTACTTTGCAGCAGTGTGTAGGAGAGAAAAGGCTGGGTAATAAAATTTTTATATGTTTTTGTAACTTTTGTTCTCCTTTTAATTATAAAGCACCTTTAGTGTGCTGGAACAAGGTTAATGACTCCATTATCATTGTTTCCGCATAATTTATCAATGATATCTCTGTCAATTAGAGTAGCATGACCTTGAATGCACCATGTGACTGTAGCTGCTTCTTCAGTGCTGCCTAGGAATGAAGTCAGAGAGAGAACTGTGGAGGTAGGACACTACTATTTATAATGCGATCCTTAAGAGACTGTGAGTATTTCTCTTGTTTGAAAGTTTTGACAGTTCAGCAGTGAAAATAGGTGAAATCAGGGAATGGCTGATTCAATTTACAGGAATTAGCTTGGCTGTTTTGGAGTACAGAAAATAAAGGTGCTTTCATGGTTTTTCATTATGTTGTGTTTGATTAAACACCCCCCTCTTCAAAACAATTAAGTATCTCATCATTTATCACATTACCAGGCAAAATACTGCTTTTAAAAGTCTGATAAAATATTGCAGTATTATGTTAGCCAAACATCTTGAGTTAAAAACCCAAACATAATGTAGGAGTTGCTGTATAGCATCAGGAGGAGTAACTTCATGAAAAACTGATTTGCAGTTCCATGATGTGATCCAACAGGAACTCTCCTAAGTGCAACACCTAATAAGTAAGATCTTAATGCAGGAAATTATGGCATGGATTTGCATTGGAAGAAAAGACTGTAAGAGCTATTATTATTATTTAATCTTAATTGTAAGAAGTATTCCTTGGAGACTATTTCCTGTTTAGAGTTTTTTTGTTAGTTGTTTGGTTTTGGTTTGTTTTTTTTTTTTTTTTTTGTGAGCCACTTATTGTGCTACTATTGGCAGAACCACAGAGATTCTCTTGAAACACATGGGGTGAAATCTTGGTCCAGCTGAAGTCAATGGCAAAGCTGTCCTTGACATCAAATAATGAAGGCAAGATTTCCTCTGGAAAATCCCATGATTTTTTAAATATATACCCTTCCGATGGGAGAATTTTATATGGCAGTTAGATTAGTTGGGCATATTGCAAATGTTCGTTCTGATCTTCTGCTCTCTTGGGTGAAGAGAAGAGCCTTATACTGCTGTTTTTTAAAGGAATACTTCTGAATTTAAAATGTGTTTGTTTTTACATGCTGAACAGTTTGGATTAAGTACTGTCGTCTTCCCACAGATGCGTAGTTGAAAAATTAGCAATGTGTTAAGGAAAGGCATCTTTATTTGGATAAGTAATCACATGGGGAGGAGTCATGTGGGGAGCAGTGTTGTCTCCAGTTCCATTCTCTGTTCATCACTGCTGTCTAAGATCCACAGTATCTTTCTTGATTAATTCTCACCAGTGGGCGACACAGGTCCATGATGTGCACAGACTCACTGCTTGAAGGGTTGCAGGAACAGCCCACTTAGTTGTACTGCATAAACCAGGATCTTTATTCTTTGTAGAGTTATAAACTTCCACAGATGCCCTCAGCAGAATCCCAATGAACAGTGTGAAAACATGGATTTCAGAACTCAGGAGCATTGCAACAGGTTTTGTCCTGGAGCTGCTGCCTGATGCATCTCCTTCTCAAGAAAAGTGGTTTGGATGTACTATGTAACCAGGTGATCTGACAAACTGAGCAATTTAATTTACTTTTAGAAGTGTTTTAGAAGTGTTTAATGATATGACCATATGAAATATGAATAAGATTGATATTTTATGTGGAAACTTTCTAATGTCTCTGATTTGACTCTAAATTGTCAGACTTTAAACTTCAACCCAGAACAACCCCCTTATGCAACAAGGCATTTAGTACACATAATGTAAGGAAGTACTTAAAACCAGTTTAATTTTCTCAGTCCAATCATTTACTTAATAGTAAGCATATGCTAAAATGTTTTACTGACTTGGGCATATTTTCAAGTGTCTTCCCAGTCAGGAGAAGACTTGGAGCCTCATTAGGATGGATAGAAGAGCAGCCAAGTTTGGGCAAACTGCAGGCCTGCATCCTCAACATCTTTTCCCTGGTAGCTGCAACAGTGGTTTCCCAGTGAAGACTAAAAGGACAGGAGGGTACTGTGCCAGCACTCATTGATTTGTGAGTAAGGGATTAGTAGCCTTGTGTTTTTTCTTAATGGGTTCATCCATAAGCTTTGCAATTAAAAACTGGCTTAATTTTTTTTTCTTTAAAAGTCTGTGACAAACCTTTTGACAGAGTACAGAAATGCTGTGGTTTTCCAAAGTTTTTGCCTGCACATGTAAATACCATGTCAGCTAGTTAAAATGTTAGTATTTCGCTACAGACTTTTTCATACACATATTCCTATATATAGTTATATTTTAAAAGAATTTCTTTGGTTATTTAAAGTCATAAATAATTCTCTTCTATGTTCATTAAAACACTCTATGCATACATACTGTCTTTTGGTAGTTTTTGTCCCTGGGTATCAATATATACTATCTTGCAAGATAAGATAGAATTATCTTCATGAGAAGAACAGTATTTTGCAATAGAAGAAAGCTGCATGATTTTCCAGATTAAAAATATCACAAGGGTGGTGCAAAAACCAAACCTAGAGAACTCTGCACACCTTTGTGGTTGTGCTTCTGCTGTATAATGCATAGATAGTATTTGAATTTAAACTGTACTTCAGACCTGTTTCTTTTTCCTAATTTGTGCTCCTTAGGATTTTTCTAACTCTTGAAATTAAATTCAGAGTTCTTTTTTTACCATTA